TTCAGGGGATAATCAGGGGATTATCTGGAGGTCTGCTGTGTGTCCAGATGTGTATCTGGGCATTGACGTAGGACGGGAGATTAAAAAAAATACGTTCCTAGGCTGGTTAGAATAAGAATGGAATCTTTCCTTATCCCTTCATGTTAATAATTTTAGCAGCTTGGTTAAAGATACTCCGTTTTATATATTCCCTATCCTTACTCTGTGCCCAATGGACATAGCCCACATACAGCGCTTTAAGAGCTAGGAGCAGATTCCTTCCTGGTGATAATTCCCCTGCTGTTAGAAACTAAGGCAGTTTCCAACTTTTACTATAGATTCCCTGGGGAAATATTTATAGCTAATATAATAATTTATAGCTAAATCTCTTTCCATATAGATATATAAATATGTCTGTCAAAGTGAGATTAGCATGTCTAAAGGTGAGAAAGTTGATGTGTCCACCGTTTCATGTTGTCAACTAACCCTTCAAGTACGTGGAACAAACGAGCCAGGTCCACCAGGCTAAGACCTTGTAGCGTGTGCACGTAATACCCACCTTGGCCACTAGGTGTCAGCCCATCGCTGTCTCTTCCTGCTTGGCTTTTTCTGGGCATCGATTTGCTTTCAAAGACAACCTCAGTCAAAGATACCGTCCTCTTTATAGAATAATGCTTAGCTCTCTCCTGATCTTAAAAGTGATCACTGAACAAACTAAGAAAAGCGTAAAGCGAGAGGGAAATTTCCCATAGTGCTGCCTCCGGGGAATAACCCCTGTTATGTACGTTTGGTCTCTTTCTGTTCTATTCATGAAGTTGTAATAGCTTGTGTTACTCCGTGACAGGCACCGTCTCAGAGGTTTTCTGCAGATCTGTGCATTTAATCCTCACTATAGACTGAGAAGGTAAGGACTATTCTTTCCTGTTATTATTTTAGTTACATATTTGTACAGCCTGTTTGAGATACATTTCACATATCATAAATTCTACCTACCATTTAAGGTGTATTGTTTAGTGTTTCTTAGTATATTAATGGAGTTGTATAGCCATCCATGATTTAATTTGAGGACATTTCAATACCCCAAAAGAAATGCCAAACACATTAGCAGTCAACTCTCATTCCCACTCCTGCCCTTTTCCCCAACTAGAAGAGACTATTTATTGTTATTAATTATTTTTTTATTGTAATAGGAACATACGACATGAGATCTTAACAAAATTTTAAGTGAACAATACAGTATCACTAATTATAGGCACAATATTGTGGAACTGATCTCTAGAACTTATTCACCTTGTATAGCTGAAACTTCATACCTGTTACATAGCAATTCTCCACTCCCCCTGCCCCCTCTGGCCCCTGACAACCATCATTCCGATCTCTGCTTCTATGAGTTTCATTACTTTTGCTACCTCAGACACATGGAATCATACGGTATTCGAATTTTTGTGACTGACTTATTTCACTTAGATTAGTCCTCAAGTTTCATCCATGTTGTGGCAAATGGCAGGATTTTCTTCTTTCCTATGATAAAATAATATTCTATTTCATGGATAGACCACACTTTCTTTATCCATTCCTCTGTCGATGGACATTTGGATTGTTTCCGCATCGTGGCTGTTGTGAATAATGCTGTAATGAACATGACAGTACCGATATCTCTTCGAGATCCTGATTTTAGTTCTTTCGAATAAATAACCAGAAGTGAAATAGCTGTGTCATGTGATAATTCTATTTTTTAACTTTTGAGGCACCTCCGTACTGTTTTCCACAGCGGCTGCACCATTTTACATTCCCACCAACAGGGCGCAGGGTTTCACGTTCTCGTCAATGCTTGTTATCTTTGGGTTTTATGATAGTGGCCATCCTAATGGGTGTGAGGTGATCGCTCATTGTCAATTTTGCTTTGCATTTCTCTGAGGATTAATGAGGGAGGAACTATTTTTATCCTAGATTTACAGAATAGAAAACTGATGTCCAGAGATAAACCTATCCAAGGTCGTGTGCCTGGTAATGTGTGTCAGAGCTGGGATTTGAACCCAGACAGAAAAGCTCCAGAGTGTGCGAGCCTGGCCAGTCTGCCGCCCCGCCTTCCATATGCTTAGTAAACCTCTGATCATGCTGTTTTGTACTCTATTCTTTTCTCCCAACGTCATATTAGAATGATTTCTTTCTTATAACATGAAATATTCTCCTAAAACAGAATTGTAAGGTGGCTGCATGGTGGTCTAGCTATGCTGTGGATACCGTATGCTTGACTGGCATTGAGATGTCCCTGGTGTTCCCTTTTGTAAGATACTCTGAGGGTTACACCTGTGCTCATGTGTTCTCAGGCGTTTCTGATCATTGCCTCAGCATAAAGCATAGAAGCGAAATTGCTGGGACAAGGGCCATGCATATGCAAGGATGTCATCTCAAAAAAGATTGTACCAATTTGCACTCTTACAGGAAGTGTTCAAGAGCTATCACATTCTTTTTTCTCCACATTCTCGCTCACCAAAGGCTATAAATAAATCTCTTGGTCCGCAATTACTAAAGGGTAGAAGTGGAGGGAGGGGGAGATTTTTCCTTTGATGATTAAAATTTATTCTCATGTTCATGGTACAGGCTACAAATATAGAGCGTCAGGAACAGTTTGGCTCATTGATAGACACAGCTTCAGCCCTGCACACAGTCTTACTGAGGGGAATAAAGCCTGACCTTTGACGGTTGGTATAACGGCAGTCGGCCACACTGCCACCACGGGTGTCGCCTGGCACGGATGCAGCGCTGAGCTCTAGCGGAAGCTCTTACTAATTCATCCATTCATGTAGTTCACATGTATTTATTGAGGGCCTACTATGTGCCCGGCACCAAGTGCTGGAGCCAGAAGATGGGAAGGAGACTTCTCTCATCGGTGCAACGGGGACAGGGTTATCTGCCTTGTGGGGGGGCATGGGGAGACAGTGAGATGGCGTCAGTAATCAACTGGAGCTGTTATCATGACTCTTATTGTAATAGTAAGTGGGGTAAGTGCTGGTTTCTGACCAAGAGAGACGTTGCTTATGGTTCCATGAAGATCTACGTGGAAAATGAGTTTTACAAACAGTTCACTTGCATCTCTCTTAAGCCCAGTTCACGATATGTCTTGTTTGTTTGAAAACAATACCAACTCAGATCTCACCCTTTCCCTGCCCTACATCGGCCCTCTCTTGCCTCCCCCTTATGCTGATCATAATCCTATGCCATCCCAAAGAGGTCGGGTACGCACAACTGTGGGCGTGCAGTGGACTTGCACACAGATGGTGACTGCAGGTTTTGGGGATGTGGTGGCAAGACTGAGGTCAATGGCACACCCTTCCACACACACACCCCTGGAACCTTCTCCCTGGCCCTCGGAAGAGAAAATCCATCACTGCTCTGGCCCCCTATCATCTAACCACTGTCATCTCCATCCAGCACCTGCCGTGGGCGCCACGATTTATCTCTTTTTAATTCTTCATAACTCAACGGTGGGTTCTTAATCCAGCCCTCCGTTCCAGGGGTCCACCACAGCGCCTGGCACATACTGGGTGCTCAGTAAATATGTACCGAATGAAAGGGTGATGAAGGGAGGAAGACATCGCTCTCACCGATGTCGGCCTAGCACAGGGCAGTACTATGCGTTGAGACGGGACACTCGTTTCCACTTTTATTCTTTCCTGCTCCTTCTTCTGACTGGGCCCCTCTCCCTCTGCCTTCTGACCCCCGCTGCTCTCATCCTGGTCCTCTGCCTGGGGTCTGCAGGTGTGAAAAAGTGATACCCACACCCAAAACTTGCCAAACCATGGAGGCTCAAACCAAAGGGTTTTGACACTGTCCCCCTGGAGGAAGCTCAGAATGATATGCTCTGGAAAGCCGAAGGCTATGTGTACCCTGGGGTCCCTTTATTTGAGAGTCTGCCTCTACAAGACAGTCTTGGGGGCCACGGGAAGGGTCATGCTGGGCATCTGAGGGGTAGGGATGGCCCAGGCATCCATATGGGCCCATCACCTGAGAAGCAGGACCAGAAAGGACATTGCAGGTATGTGTGGCAGAGAGCTAGTGACTGGGGTCTTTGCCTGCCTTCTTATGTGTGCATTTGGGAGACAGTGGAACCATGCCAGTTTGAAGGACCTCACCCAGAGGCCCCCTAGAGCAGAAGACCACTGCCAAACATCCTTTGAGATGGGAAGAATAGAATTTATTTTTATTCTCCCTCATCATCCCTCTGAATGAGGGGGTGGTGGAATTTGTGGGGTAGTCACAAACTTTTCCATTGTCCAGAACATCTCTCTGCCAATTCTTCTGGGGACTGCTTCTTCCTAGCTCCAGGCAGTGGTTCTGAAGGAAACTGTCAATCACCATGTATAGCTCAGCGGAGGCCATGTGACCAAGTGGAGCCAATCATAGTACTCCCTACCTTGGCCATAATGATTGGTCCAGGGCTGGACACATGACCTGAGGTGGACCAATCAGAGCCCTCCATGGTACTCTACTCTTGTCTGAGCTTCTCTCCTTCCCAACCTTTAGTTGCCTTAAGGACGTAAAAACCTGGGACCGGCAGCAGCTAAGTCCTTCCCCACATATGGAGAAGCATGGCAAAGAAGGTGAAGAGAATCAAAGATGAGAGAAAGGAAAGAAGGAGAGAAAGTGAACTGATGGCTTTTGATTTCTTGGGTTTAGTCACTGAGCTCTTTGGACCCGCTCTGGCTCCTGTATCCTGGATCCCCAGTACCCTTCCAATAAATGTTCCTTTTTGATTAAGCCAGCTAGAGTTGGGCTCCTCTCACTTGTGGTCCAGACTAGATTCTAGAGTCCTGCCTGATTCCGATGCATCTCCCAGACCCAAAGAGAGGTACCCGTTTACATTAGCACCATTGAAAATGAGATCCTTTATTTTCCACTGAGAATTAGGCTTTGCACCAGACACAGTTTGAGCCAGCTCTCCTGAGTGGGAATGCTCTGGATGTGTTTGTGAGGGTGTTTGGAGTGGGCCTGGCTGCTTCCTGGAGCAGTGCCAGCATCTATATCACCACTGGAGCCAGGCCAATCCGGTCATTTGCCCGATCGAAAACGGTGAAGTACAGCCTCAGGAAGACATCACCCAGGATCCAGACATCTGAATTGGCTACCATGCCTTCAAAGTTGCTGTAGCAGATGTCTGAGTTGTACTGGAGGAGACAGAAACAACACACCGGTCAGCCTGAGCCCTCACTTGCCACTCACTTTAGTATCCAGAGCTGGTGGCATCTCAGCTCCATTTCCCTCCTTTCCGATGAGCTAAGTGGCTCTTTCTGCAGCGGCAGACGTGGGGTACCTGCCCAGAAACCAAAACTGCCTGTAGCTCTCCTCCCACTCTGCTGTCTTTCCTTGGGACTGATGCTCAGGCTGTTCCTCGTCGCCCTGACTCATTCTTAATGACTGAGCTCAGCCTCCTCTGGGCAGCCTTCCTGGACCCATGCCCGCCCTCCTCAGCCAGTCCAGGATGGATGGGCTGATTTCCCTGGAGGTCCTTGTGTCTTTAGCTTTAAGCGTGCCCATGCACCCCTTTGCATAGCTCTTTGGGGTTCCCTTTGCGTGGAGCCTGATGTAGACCTGCCTTGACCCAGGCAGGCCTCCTTGAGCCTCCAAGAGGCTGGGGGCTTAGAATTATTTCTCTCCTTCTCGTCCTCAAAGCTTTCTTTGAACCCATTCAAGCCTCCTCTGAACTCCCATGGGAACTGACATTTATTAAGCTGCGACTCTGGGCCAGGTGCTCTGTGATCGCTGTGCATCCTTTATTCGCATCAGCCTCGAACCACCCGCACAAAGGGAGGGGGTGGTACCCCACTGACAGAGCGGGAGTTGGGGCTTAGCAAGGGGAAGTGGCAACTTCAGACGAGGATTATCATCGAAACCAGGACGTTTTTGAGATGGGAAGGGAGCTCTGTTAATTACGGCGAGACAACACACTGGGACTGTCCCCGGCCACCTGCACCTGTCCCTATTCCTTTGGCCTAGCTCTGGGCTTGCTATGGCTGATTTCCCGCGTTCATCCGTCTCAGCCCCCTGGTTACACGGAAGCTCTCTGAGGTCAGTGGCCCTCAGTATTCTGCTCTCCTTGTGCCTAGCGCCGTGCAAGTGTGGGGTGGTTGCCCTATGTTTCTGTGAGGATGATGGATGCCCTAGACAGCCATTTGCCATCAAGAGGTTTGTTTTGTGGGTGGTGCCAGCCCAGCCAGGGGTGCTCTACAGCATCTGCAATAGCTAGACTTGGCCTCCAGGGGCCTCTTCCTCCTCGCCTCAGCCCAAAGGATCCAGCAATTCCCAGATTGGAGAACCAGCTCCAGGGGTTGGGCCCTCACCTTCTGGATGTAGGCACTGGCTGGTACGGGGTACTTGATGCCATTGATGGTGAAGATGGTGTCAGGCAGGGTGTCGACGGAGCTACAGTTGACAATGTACTGTTAGAGAAAGAAGGAGAGAGAAGGTTAGCACAGCTGATCCTTCGGTGTGTGGAGAGCCCCGAACTGACCCTGTGACATGACTCTGTACCTCGCCACTGCTGATGGGCTGGGCGTTGATGGTCTTCAGGATTTCGAGAATAGGGTCATTTGGGCCAATCACCAGTGAGGTCCCAGTATCGACAATTGCCTGGCAGCCACTTTTACAAGCAATAATCTTCCCATTCATGGAGACGCTGAGAGACAGGGGAACGAAGCAGGCACGAGGATTACTCCGCAGCCTCCCCGGCTGTCCCCAGAACAGTCCTTTGGCTCGTGCCCTCCTCTGTTTCCCTTTTTCTCTGGTCACACTGACCTTCTTTGGCTTCCTTTCAGCAAGCTCGTTCATGCCTCAGGGCCTTTGCACCAGCTAGAATCGCCCCATCTCCTTTGTCTGGCTAATTTATCTTATGCTCTAGGTTCCAGCTTAACTGTCACTTTTTCAAGGAAGTCTTCTCCCCAGACTAGATCAGGCTCCTCTCTTGGTCACTCTCGGCATATGATTCATTTCTAGCATGTATCAAAGTGACAGTTCATTATTCGTGTGACTTGATCTTTCATGTGTGGCTGCCCTACTAGAGGTGAGGTCAGTAAGAGCAAGCGGTACCCTCTGTGCCTCCCTCAAGTGCCTGGCCCACAGCATATGCTCAACACATGTTAGTTGAATAAGCGAATGAATGAATGAACAAGTGAACGGGTGAGGGTTAACTGGAGACATGTATCTGGCGTCTGACCAGTTACGAAAGCCACGCAGTGAAGACGAAGGTTCTTCTGGGCAGCAGAAGCGGTGGGAAGGGAGCTGTGTGTTGTTTTCCCCCCTTCCAAGCCCCCTTCGCAGACACTGAGGCCTCTGGCCAGGCAATGCCTGAGCTAGCCCAAGGGGCAGGATGTGGGCCTCTAAAGGACATTTAGAATTTTTGTCTGATGGGATTACACGGAATCCCATCAATGATTGCCACTTTGTTCTCAGGCCACTCCCAAATGCCCAGCTTCCTGATTCTGTCACGTCCCCTGCCCTACTGGTGCCCAGGATGGGGGTGGGGGGACACCCTCTTGTATGATGTGCTTTCAGGTCTCCAGAACGAAGACAACGTCTCATCGGTGCCGGGGACCAGCCTTCCTGGTTTGTCCAGGACTTTCTGTTTTCAAACTGGCAGTCCCGTGTACCGGGGTGACCTGGGATGGTCAGTCACCTTACGATGACCCTGTTCAGGCTGGCGGAGTTCTCCTTGATCCCCTTTTCACTGCAGCCCGCCCCACAGCCTGGTGGGTGCAGCTCTCCCACGCTGCACAAGCCTCTTCCAGGAGAGTTCGGTCCCCAGGCCTGTCCCCTCTCATCGTACTCCATGACTTAGGCCCAATCCAGCTTCTCTGTTCAGGAGGCGTGGGGCAATTAAGAACCCATGTTGGTGTGTGTGTCTGTGTGTGTATGTGTGTGTGTATCTGTGCATCTGCATGTTAGCATGTGGCTATGTGCGTGTCTGTCCAAGTCTGTGTGTGTCCAAGTATCTGTATATACATTTGTGCCTGTGCACATGCATGTGTGGCGACGTCATTGCTGTGGCCCTCACGGGGAGGGGCTTACCTGTCCATGGATATCTGCCAGAAGCCACGTTGAGTCACCGGCACCCACTTGAGGTCCCCCTTGTAGTAGGAGGGGTCCACCCCGCCGAACAACACCACGCTTCTCTTCTTGTTGTTGCTGGTGGTGGGGGGGCGGGGCAAAGAGAGAGCTCATCGTCAGGGAAGAATGACGGGTGGCTTTTCTCAAGCTCAGTGACATGCCAGGCATGAAGGGCTGCACTTATCAGTGATTACTTGTCCACGCATCGCACAGCCCTGTGGAGTAGGCACTTCTATGGTATCCATTTTACAGATGGGGAAGTTGAAACATGGAGGGGTTGAGTACTTGCCCAAGGCCGGTCACATGGCTAATGAGTGGCAAAGCTAAGGTTTGAACTTGGACGCTCTGGCTGGGCTCCGAAGACAGCCAGGTCCCCTCCAGCGACCGGAGCACTTGGAGATGCTGTTGGAGGATGCCGTGCTGGAGGGGACTGGCCTCCACCTTGTCTAGCCTGTCATTTTTCAGAAGAGCTGAGGCTGGTAGGAAGCCACAGTCCATGGGCTCAGGCTCGCACAGGGCTGGCTTCATGGGCCTGCTACTTGTGCCGTTCACAGGGTCCCATGCCTCTGCTGTCCATGTTTTGATATTCCTAATACTCTTTGAACAAGAGGCCCTGTTTTTCATTTGGCACAGGCTCCTGCAAAGTAGTAGCTGGTCCTGGACTCATGATAAAATGTTAGTGAGGGAGAAAACATCCCTGCTGACCGCTCTCCTCCCTGCTGCATCGAATCTATCAGCAAATCCTGTTGCCTTTTCCTGCTCCTTGAACCCTAACTCTT